AACAACAAAATTTATAAAAACTTAAAAAAAAAAAAATTTAATACCAGGAAGGCTGCTGTGACTGAAAAGTTTAACATTATGTACGTTGTGTATTTCAGACATTATACATGTATGTATATAATTTAACACCTACTGTAATGGTAGTTTCCGGAAAAAGTATTGATGACCTCTGAGGATGATCCGTAGGGATCGAGACATGTAAGGGTGATGAGTTTTCAAGTGATAAAACTTAAATAGTCACACTGGATGGTGTTGTTTTTGTCTTTGTCATATTTTATATTCACTCATATCATTTTATACCATTGTATACACTTGGAAGTTTAGCACTGTATCCTATATTTGATATGCAATTCAATAACGAAAAGTTTAATATATTTGCCTGATGATGGCCTTTTGAAGGCCGTAACATGTAGCAAAAGTATCTCCTAGAGCTACTTACACATATTATTGATTGTTGTGTTGTGCCGGTTTTCAGTAAGAAATAGTACATGGTTTGTTAATGTTTTGCCTGATGATGGCTTCATGAGCTGAAGCATGCTGTGACATTGTACGAACAGTAAACTGTGTTATGCACAGTGAAATGCCAGTGAATTGTTTGGTAAACTCTTGTGTTTTAAAGGAAAAACAAAACTCATATGTAGCATCTTCCTCTGTCTTCCACTCTTCAGCTGTCTAGCTCATGCAGGGACCCTCCTATACTGAAAGGTGTGTGTGTTCAGATGCCAGACATACGTACCAGTTTTTGTTAGAATATACAGTGCCCCATTTAGGCAGGTCACGTTCCCTGAGTGTTTCTGAACAATTTCATTAGTAGACATGCCCCTGCTCAGTGGTAACTTAATCTTGGCCTCAGACTAATGTGTTGTATAGTGTCTTGGGGTTTGCAGCCCAGTGGAGCTCATTAATATCACCCAATTCCATCTTCCTGTGTACCTGTCAGATAGACTGCACTAGTGATACGTACGACACACAAAAACTACGACAGCCGCAATAGAGTGCAACGACAGCGTTCTGATCATGAGATAGAACTAAATACTGACGTGCACGGAAGCACAGTGAACAAGTATACAGTGCAGTGGTCTCCCCAAAAGAGGGGAAATTACCTGAAGATGGCCCGTATGTGGCCGAAACATGTTGTAAACTAGAACAACTATATGACTAGAGACATTTTAGAAATTAGATAATCACTTTTAATGTATAGAATATGCTCTTAGTGTCCTATTGACATGTAATGATTTTTGCAATATCAAGAAGTACTTTTTTAGTATGAAACATGTTCCTAATGTCTATTATATTGCATTATTGGTGGATACTTTGACAATAAGGATGATCATTAAATAGCTTGTGCCACTTGACAGTGAAGCATATCTTGAAAACTAAACCTCACAGGACACATTTTGTACAATATATTTGACGTTCTTGCTTTTGTTTCACTCTGTATAGTGTGTTCAGATTTACAATTTGTAAATCCCTGCATAATTGTTATAGCATATTGGCAGTTTGGCAGCTGTATTAGTGAAGAAAATCTGTATCGAGTTTGTGGGTGAGCAAGGATTGTGCAGCATCTGCCTCTTCCCTTGTGCAGCGTCTACAAGGAGCCCCCTGTACCACAGGTGTCATGTTACATTCACTCTTCTAGGCCAGCATTTTTTGACCTTGTTCAGTAGATATATTGAAATGTAATTTCACTACTTGATAAACTTTAACAGCAAGAAACCCACAAAAGAAGCTGTTGCAAATTTTCAGTTGAATACAGGACATGACTGCCTTGCAGCACATCTTTGTAAGATAGGAATATATAACACAGAAGAATGTACACTGTGCAACTTTCCAGAACACCTTCTTCAGTGCCCTAATCTTAACAGGGAGATGCAACAAAGCAAGAACTTGAGTGCTCTGTATTGGGAAACAAGAAGCAAAATGGGTTAAATGATCCCAAATGCAGTCATTGGAAATCAACCAACCAGCCAGCCAATATCTCATATAACTCCAGTTCAGTACTATAAGGAAGTAGGCAGGGTAAGGAGGACTCCATAGCTCGTACTCAAGGCAGCTGGATACGTGTAGCAGGACCTTGTATACAGGACAGGTGTTGAATGGGGGAGAGGCTTTCAGGTAGTTAGTGTAGCAGCATGTGTTTGGTCTCATATGCAGGGTTGTGACACAGGGTTAGTGATTGGCATGCTTTGTCTAACGGTATGAAATGAGATTCCCATTTGAACTCCTGCTTTCAGGTGGCAGCCCGTGTTAAGGGGAGCCACATGTAGGCTTGATTGGTGGCATTCATTAGAACAGGGCATCACCCAGTCAGGAAATAACAGGACTTCCTATTGTTAATCCTTACCACTAATGAAAGAAAAATAAAACCCGTGCTGGATTGTATGTACATCCCAATAATTTGTTGTACCATTTTGCATTGCAGGCCAGATCATAGTCCATGCTGGGCGTGTACAGGAGGCTTCTGAGATGGTGCAGCTTCTGGATGCAAGAATTTCACAACAAGAGGAGGTAAACTAAGTTAATTTTGCTTCCATGTTGCTTTACATTACATCACTTTATCATCATATTTGCATTCAGTTTACAGAGTTTCAGTGACATTCAAGCATCAGTATTAAGTAGCAAGCAGGAAATGCTTGCAAATGTTTGAATAGTTCTGCCTTTTAAAAGCCAGGGTGCTAGGATTCAAGGCAAGAGCACACTGACACACGTGTGCATGCACACCCTTATGTTCACACTTTTTCTGTGGTGTTATAGTCATGAATTGATCATAAAATAATCTCTCTTAATATAGTATAGTTTAATACAAAGCAGTGTGGTACATTATAGTACAGTTTGATACAGTTTATTGTGTGTTAGTATAATATAATGTAGTAAACCATCTTACCACGTGCAGATTTCAAGTATCTGCAGTCTGCCTTTAGTATCCAGCTTTGGACATCATGGTACTTGGCTTTAGTTTGTGCAGACACTGGAAAAGTTTAACAAGATCAGCATTTACTGGAAGTCACAAGGTGATGGCATTTGAAAGCTGTGTGTCCTCCAGTTTCTGTATTATGATTGCTATGTATCTCTCTCTGGTGTAATGCTCCACCACCATCTGTGAGCCAATTGTATAGAAATTGTGGGAGCCTCAGCGTCTAACAACCCTATGGGCCTGCTTGGCCTGTTACAGGGAAAGCTTTACCGTATTATGCGTCTGTCTCTTGCTTTTTGTATTCAGTGTTCAACTTACACCTGAATGTGCTATTACATGTGTACACTTGGTCGACAACTTACAACCTATGTGACCTACGACCGGCTGCACTTACAACCACAAAAAAATGAAAAATAGAAGATTATTAAAATGTAAAAGTTTTTAAAAATAAATTATAAAGATGATAACAAGATTAGAAAGGTTAAAAAATACTGTTAATATATATATGGCCAACATACAACCAGATCGACTTCCGACCTGACAGTCAGAACGGAAGTCAGTCGTAAGTCGATGACCAAATGTATTGTGGTTAGTGAAAGGGAGGAACTTTAGTTAGGTTAGAAGAGTGTAGCAGGCACTGCAGTTCCTTCAGTCACGAGTTTCCTGCAAGCCCTTAATCTTGCTGATTGTGGTGTACTTTAGAAATGCAGGCCCTGCAGTTGGTGATATTTAGGACCCTTTAATTTATTTGAATATTAGTACAAAGTAATAGTGTGCACAATAGTGTTTTATAAAAATTGACATGTCACAGTATAGTGTGGAAAATTTTATTGTCTTGTTTAGTATATCATCATAGTCACCAACTTACTGGCCTGATCTCCTTCACTGTTCCTTCCTATACTTATATTTGTTTTAACCTTCATCCCTTCTGCCACAACCTTCTCTGCCCATTTGTATTTTACATTTTACTTTTTCCGCCTGAGTTTTCTGAAGCCTTTCAGTTTCAGTGCTACTACTACTACTACTACTACTACTACTACTGTATTTCTGAAAATTTTCTATTGCACTTCACATCTTCTCTCCCTCAACCTACCATCCTCTACACTCCTGAACTTCTCAGCTCCTCTGTTACCTTCTTTTGTAAATGCTGCCTTTGTGAATTTCCTGAACTGTTTTCAAATCTACCATTTCCTCTCCTGACCCTTTCTATGAATTCATTCCTGAACTCCCCTATTCCACCACTTGCTATCTTCATAGCCCTCATTTCTCTTACTATCTCACTTCTCCTTTCTGCTGTCCTTCCATACTGCCTTTTGCTGATTCTCTTCTTTTTTTCTCCAGTTCCTTTTTTCAAGACCCCATCAGTGTCCTTACTTTAATTAAANCACCACTTGCTATCTTCATAGCCCTCATTTCTCTTACTATCTCACTCCTCCTTTCTGCTCTTCTTCCATATTGCCTTTTGCTGGATCTCCTTCTTTTCAAGACCCAATCAGTTTCCTTTCTTTAATTACATCTCCTTCTTTCCAGTCCCTGCTTCACTTTCCCTTCCTTTCTTGGATCCTTCATCCTTCCACTTTTGACTTCTCCATAATAATTTTCCTGAACCATTTTTCTTTGCTTCTTCTTCCCTTCCTGATACATCTGTTTCCACCACTTTCTGTGCAGGCCCCACCCATTAGAGGAAAAGAAGGGAATTAAGGGAAAGCAGATTTGCAGAAGAGAGTGGAGGGGAGTCTGAAGGTGAGTGGTGTGAGTTGAGATGTTCACAGAAAGGGGGAGGTTAGGAAATTGTGAGAGCAGAAGGGGTTTGTAAATGCTAACAGTGAAGGGGGGTTGNTGAAGGTGAAGTGGTGTGAGTTGAGATGTTCACAAAGTTTGAGTATATTGGGAGAAAGGGGAGGTTAGGAAATGGTGAGAGCAGAAGGGGTTCCTAAATGTTAACAGTGAAAGGGGGTTACTAAGTTGATGTAAATGAAAGAAGGAAAATGTGACCTGTTCAGGAATGTAATGCAAACTGCAGAGATGGACCATCAGGTGTGTGTCTGTGCAGAAATGTGGTAATTGTACAGTGCTGTAGGAATTCTGTAATGTCATTTTAAATTTGAATGTGTTTAGTGTTCAAGTTAAATGTTTTTATATAGCCTCAGTTCTTCAGCTGTATTCTTACAAGCCCTTTGATTGTACTGAAGACTATAGTAGATGACTTGATTGACACACACACACACAGTCCCAATCTAGCTGATAAGGTAGTGGTCAGACAGACAGGTCTCAGAGAAGGTAGGGTCACTTGTGTGTGATATTGCCACTCACAGTCCGTTCTTAACCGTAAGTAAATTGAAGAGACAGATGACAGCAGCAGATGCAGACAGTGAACAGTCGACCACCTCCAAAATGGACATATATTTGGCAGTTAGTGGAGTGGTGCATTTACTTTCTCTGTTGCAGAGAGGAATGGGAGTTTTTTTGTTGAAAGAAGTCGGAAGTCCATCACAGACCTAACAGAGAATATCCAAAGTTATGAAATTTACATCTGTATCCTTGTCAGTGGATGTATACATCCACGCTCCCATATCCCTTCATGGTGTGGTGCTTTATTAGTTAAGCACAGGGACAACTTTACTTTACCCTCTCCCATATCCCTTCATGGTGTGGTGCTTTATTAGTTAAGCACAGGGACAACTTTACTTTACCCTCTCCCATATCCCTTCATGGTGTGGTGCTTCATTAGTTAAGCACAGGGACAACTTTACTTTACCCTACCTTTATCCTTGTCTGTATGCTGCTGAAGCAATGTGAGTATTGTGGTAGGTGATTCAAACCCTGATTCCCAATTTATTATTGCTTTTGGAGCTGTTGTTACATAACAATACTTTAATTTTAGAATTTGAGTGTTACTCCCTTCCTGAAATATGTGAATACTGTATGTTGCGGCACTGACAAAGAAAGCAGGAGACGAGTGTACTGGACAAATATTGTTCATCATACATCTTCATGAATATATAAATTTGAATCATATAGACTCTTATTAGAGGTGCAGCTGCAGTTCTGCAGTTGGGTTATGGTTGAACGTGTCTGTGCTTCAGCTCTGAGGTGGTTGTAAACGTAAATGTAAGCCCGTCAGTGTGTTAGAAATCGAGAATTTGAAGTATGTTATTTTGGGATCATATTGGAGAGAGAGGGAAGGACTTCTTAGAAATGTTATGTAGGTTTATATGATTCGTTATTTATTAGAAGAAAAGATTAATATTCTTACAGGTACTTATGAAACAGCACTTCACAGTATAGATTAGTTTGTATTTGGCTTATGAAATTTGGTGTTGTAGGAGAGTTTAAAAGTAGATACAAATTTTATGTTAAACACTTTTCTGTATTGGTAAGTATGAGCTTGGTCATAGTGAACTGTAAGTAATGAAGCTTCACTGTTTCAATTACTTTCTTTGCAAATAATTTTGCAGTATGAAAGTTTGTGTTGACCTCCATCAATTCTCCATGCCTTGCATAGTCTTTTGAGTGGATTGTAGCCATATTTTATTAATTGCTGAGCAGAATGTTAACACTGTTTTTGTAATGATGGAACTGATACATAACTCAAGTTCTGGGGAAGATCAGCATTTTCATTTTATGAGCTAATTGTCCTTGACATTTGTTATTGTGCTTGAATATTCTTGTTCAGTTTGTTTCCGGTTCTTGTAGAACCAATATTTGGTCCCTGCTAATCTAATCTAGATAATTGCATTTTATAAAAGCTGTACTGACATCAGAGTTTGTGAAACAGTGAAAATTACAAATGTGGCTATGGATGTCATGGTGATTTGCCTGTAGTAGCTGAAATGTAGAGGACAGAGTTATATAATAATTGACTGGGAATTTTGATTGGAAAGGAGTTTGGAAATGGAAAATAAGCATAAGTTCTTTCATGAAATTTTTAATATATAAGCAGTGCAGTATTGCATGACTTGCATTTGTAAGGGAATGGAAATTAATTTCCCATTTTTAAGGAGCTGAAGTCTTTACTTTTATATATTTTTACAGTGTTCTAATATGGAGATATCTTTGAGCAAAATTTACTTAGTGTATGGGTATTATTAGTACCTTTTCTTTAGGTCAGTATTAATACCAGCAAATACTTGATCTATATTGACAAGCTGATACAAAGTCTCACACATTTACCATTGCACTGTATTTTTCAGTCTTGAGGCAAAAACCAAACCTGAGAGTACCAGCAAACATGTTTGTATGTGTGTGTGTGTGTGTGTGGGGGGGGGAGTGCCAAGTATTATCATGCAGGAATATTATGTAACCATAAATTGTTTGTGTCATTCTGAGCCACGTAGAAGTTTTACATTTTGTTTACATTAAAAGTGGATCAAGTTTGAAACTGTACATACAGATTCACATGCAAATCAGAATCTGTTTTTTAATGCTATTCATGTAATTGTTTCAGACCTGTGACTCTCCAGCACGAGACCTCAAATGACTCATCTGCCATAAGAGGAAGGAGTTGTTGCTGTACAGTCAGAACGAGCAAGTGACAGCATTTCTCTGATGTCCATTATGCTGTCCTATCATCCATGCATGGCTCTTTCAGATAGCCTTTTCTCTTGGAGCTATGCCACCAGAATCTCTGCATGTCAAGACTGAAGTGAAAATCTGTGCATGTCAGGACCAGTGGCAGCTCATGGCTAAAATTAGTGGGGGTGCTATTCCAGAAAATTTGTAGCCTTTGTTTCAAATTGTATAAAAGGAAACAAACATGTATAAAAAGAAAATTTATTCAGAAACTTGATAAAATCCTAAAAGAACAAAATCAAACATTTTTTACGTACCTAACCTAAATTGTTACAGTTCAAGCTTAATCTATTCATTTAAAAATGAAATCCATTCTTCTTGTTTTAATTTGCATGAAAAGATCAATAATTTTCTCCTTGATCTCTGGATGACAACTGAGGAAACTTTTCTCCATTGAAAGCACTGCAAGCACATTTAGTCTTTCCAAATTCATGGTGCTTCTTAGAAAAGCAGCGCTCTGCCTCTGATGTAGTCATGGGAACTGTCAAGAGGATTTTTATCAGTTTCGTAATTTCACTAAAACATCATCTAGATCATTTTCCAAGATAAATTTCAGCAGCTCAATTAATGTGCAATATTCATGAGTATCAGACCTACAATAGAATACTTTTAATTCAGTTTCAAGCTTTTCTTTGTCAATCATGGGATATGCTTCAGTGGTCAGTACTATCTCTTCTGTGGGATATTCATTCTTAAAACAAGTGAAGCATTTCTTGTTCAACAATTTAGCAGCTTCTAAGTGTTTAGTGGAAGAATATCTGTCCATCATATCAACACATATACAGTCACACACTTCCTTAGCTTCTGCCATGAGTGTCTTTGAAGGATCCTCACAGTACTTTGAGTTTCTCAATTCTAAAATAGCAGTTTTGAAATTTGTTATATATTCATTAGCTTTAAACACACTAATTTCTTGAGATTGCATTTGGTTGTAAATTGTTTCAACATGAGGCATAATCTGATGAAAAAGCTCTAACCAAAACTTGAAATTATCATCATTCAAGTATTTTAAAATTCCTGTTGCTTCTGCAGTGGTTTGATCTGCATTTGATGTTGACTGAATTTCAGTAAGGCAGTTTATTAAAGGTTGCAAATTTTCATGAACTCTGTTTATGGTCTCTATGTTGAAGTTCCACCTTGTAGAAGATGGACGTAGAATGCTGACTTCCATATGCTTCTTGAGAATGCGCACATGTTGCGGTGATCTTGAGAAGAATGTTAGAGAAAAATATTCTTGCATTTCGTGTAATACTTGCTGCATTTCTCATTATTAAATTAAGTTGATGTGCATAACAGTGAATGAAATGTGCATTACTATAAACTGCTTTTATTTTTGCTTGAACTCCTGCTTTTTTGCCTTTCATGACATTTGCACCATCAAATGTCTGAGCTATCAGTTTTTGTCCATTTCCTTGAAGGATTATGTCCAGTTGTTCAAAAATACGTTTTGATATGCCATCTGCAGTTTGATTTTCTGCAATAAAGAATTCCCCAAAATGCTCAAATATTTCTCCATTCAATACGTACCGTAGAACAAGGACCATTTGAGTGTGTTCTGAAACATCTGTTGTGTCATAAGCCACGACAGCTACAAAGGAAGCCTTCCTAATTTCCGTCCTTATCTCCTCATGGTATATTTGTAGCAGGCAGTCAAGTATCTCATTCTGAATGGTCTTAGAAACACCTTTGAAGACTGCACTGGTTTCTAAGTGATGCTTCAAATCTGAATCTAATTTAGATGCAAAATTTACTAATCCTCTAAATACCCCTGGATAAAATGAATTGTCTTTTTCATCATGTCCACGTAAGGGAATTTCAAAGTTTCCACAAAAGAAAATGAAGTCTATTATTTTGGACAAAATTTCACAGTTCTTTTTTAACCTTTATATTATGCTCATTGATTGAAAGTCTGTATGCCTCACTAAGTTTCTCCTTAATACTTACGGTTCCTAAAAGTGACAGTGAAATTACATTATCAGCATGCTTCTTTGATTTCTCATGCTTTTCAGTTTTTTCTTTCATTTTGTTTATATTTCTAAAACCATCTTTTGTCCACGTTACATCACCCCCAAACAGCAAACACTGGAAGCAAAACAGTGCATTTTTTACTTCACATCCGTAAAGCCAACTTTTCCGTTTGTACCATTCAGAATTAAAGCTACGAATATATTTCTTGTTCTTGCTTATGCCTGGCTGAGATATTAGAATATCAGGTGTTAACGACCTCTTTTCTTAGCTGCAACTTTCTCATGGAGAGACAGTTGTGAAAACTTAAGCTGTTGAAGTTCACAAGTTCACTTACAGTCACAGAACTTATTTCTCGGGGATGTAAGGCCATGGTTAAAGTTCTCTGTAAAATAAAAGAACCAAAAAAAAAAAATGAATCAAATAGAATAGCTGGATGCAGGATAATAATCTAATTCTACAATTAACTCACATTCAAGAATATGGTACACGGTTTTTAAGCACAACACATGCGGAGTAAAAAACTACCTTCCACCAGCACGCCAGGGTCGGCACTGCGGGAACGACAGTGCGCTCTCTCCCTTGCAGCCTCAGGTGCAGCTTCCTATGTGTGCATGCGCAAAACAGACAAGAGTCAACAAACACCTCGCCACTGGAACTGTGAAGTGCACATTTCCATACAAAGATTTGGCTACTAACATTAAGCTTGAGGATTATATATTGTATTGTACAAGTATAAAGAAAGAATTAAAGGAAAAGGGACTCATTATATAAATGTTATCGATAATATCAAGTGGAAATGGGGGTGCTGCAGTTCCACAGTGCCTATACGCGGGCCGCCCGTGGTCAGGGCTGAAGTGAAAATCTGTGCATGTCAAGAATGAAGTGAGAATCAGTGGATGTCAGGACTGAGGTGAAAATCTATGCATGTCAAGACTGAAGTGAAAATCTATGCATGTCAAGACTATAGTGAGAATCTGGGCATGTCAAGACTGAAGTGAGAATCTGTGCATGTCAAGACTCAAATGAAAATCAGTGCATGTTAATACTAAAGTGAAAATCTGTACATGTCAAGACTGAAGTGAGAATCAGTGCATATCAGGACTGAGGTGAAAATCTATGCATGTCAAGACTGAAGTGAGAATCTGTGCATGTCAAGACAAATGAAAATCTATGCATGTCAGGACAAGTGAAAATCTGGGCATATCAAGACAAGTGAAAATCTATGCATGTCAGGACTGAAGTGAAAATCTGTGCATTTCAAGACCAAAACATGACAGGAAGATACTATTACAGTATTACAGGAAGAAATGTCAGTTTGATGTGTGTGACCATGTCAGACTGATACTTATTTGTCCAATAAACTGCCTCTCTTGCTTTACTATGCTTGCATGCAGGAGGGTAACACATATGCATGATATCATCTGACTTTGTGTCTTGCTTTTATGCCGTTGATGTGCAACATCAATTACTATTCACTTGCTTTTCTTTATTGACACTACATGTTTCGGCCCAACCAGCCATCTTCAGGTGTACAGGTTAGATTGCAGAATCTGCTGCTCACTGTAATGCTGTTTTGTTTCTGTTATGTGGAGACCTCGGATCACATCTGGTTATGTGGGTTAGTCATCTGTTTTTTTATTTAGGTGTCCTTGAGTTGCTGGTGTTGGCTTCATGGTTTTGTTTGGCTGTGGCTGTCTTCAATGTTCTTGCTTGGGCAGGAATTTGTTGTGTTGATGGCCAACCACAGCACAACAGATAGCTCAAGGACACCTAAACAAAAAACAGATGGTTAACCCACATAACCAGATGCAATCCGAGGCCTCTGCATAACAGAAACAGAACAGCATTGCAGTGAGAAGCAGGTTCCTTGATCACAACAACCTGTACACCTGAAGATGGTCGGTTAGGCCGAAACATGTAGTGACGACAAAGAGAAAACTGTGAGAGAATGTTAACTGACGTTGCACGCAGATGGCATCAAACCAAACCCAAAGTCAGATCTAAGCAGTGCAACAGAATGCTGCAATGTAACATTATGCCCTGGTATCAGTTTTTATGTAAAATTTATTCATGGTCTTCTGGCTTATGACATGGTTACCAAAGTTTTCTGCTGGTCTGTTGAAGCCAGGGGCAGTATGTCCTCTGGTAACGATCTTCCAGGCAACACAGTGTCATAACTTAGGAGACCAGAATAAGATTTTTCACCATTGTGAAAGGTTAAAATATGATCCTGTGTAAAATTGTATATTCAAATGTGGTGGATACTGTAAGGAAGTAATCACTAAACCATAGTAGTTCTGTTTTTCCTTATAAAGGAAAGAACTTGAGAGGTAAAGCTATCCCTATACCAGGCCTTGGAGGCCCCTAGGGTTGTGAGACGTCGAGGCTCCCACATTTTCTCTAGGCAGTCAGCTCAGATGGCGGGAAGGTTGTCAGCCTTATGCACCGGCCACCTTTTACCCCCTCTCCATAAAGATTGCTGGTACGCATTTCTGTTAGAGGCCAATTACAGACACTGCACAGTGTAGATAAAAGTAATTGCATATGGACAAACACAACATAACGTCAAAGACTAATTAAATGTAAGCACTGGAGCAAAGACCCATTAATGCAATTAATGTAATTAATAATTCAATTCATGTTTATTTACGTGCAAACTTAACAGCACAGAGGCCAATTACAAAGTTAGCCTGAGTACCTAGAAATACACAAAAATAATTAAAGAACAAAATATGACACTCTATACAAGGGCAGTAAATTAATAATAATTAAAGGAAAAACAGTATGTTAGCATTGACAGGAGAAAAAAATTGAATATGTAAATTTCCAATGGTTATGCCAACTTGTGTAATAATAATAATAATTCAATTCGTGTTTATTTGTGTGCAAGCTTAACAGCACAGAGGCCAATTACAAAGTTAGCATGAGTAAACAGAAATACACAAAATAGCTAAAAAAACAAAATACAAAATAAGACAGTCTAGTTTGATTTGTTTCATTCTGGTCGGTCACACTAACAATTACAAATATAAATCACTCCGTCCAATGTGACCTGTAAGTTTTTTACACATGAGAACTTAACACCCTTACATGTTTCGGTCTCTGTGGACCATCTTCAGAGGGCAAACATCACTACAAACAGGAAACCACCATCACATAATTTGTTTAGACGTAAGTACGTACACTTATATGCTACAATACATAGTACACAAAATAGAACA